TCAAAAGTTGTGCTAAGCTTAACCTGAGCACCAAGACCGTTCTGAAATGATCTTCAAAATTGAGAGGTCAACTAAGTACTCCCATATGAGATAATGGACAATGACACACCATGCAATTTAACCAACTCCTAAATGTTAAGTCTAGTATAATCCTCGGCTAAATTGGAAGTCTTAAATAGAAGAAAATGTTATGACTTAGTCACTTGGTCTACGACCACCAAAATTGAGTCGTTTTGATGTGCGTACTAGGCAAACATGTGATGAAGTTCATATTCAAGTCTTTCCACTTCTATTTAGGAATACAAATATCTTGAGTCATACCACTTGGTTTCTGATGCTTAACCTTAACTTGCTGACAATTCACACACAAATTGTGCAATATCCTTCTTCATCCCATTCTACTTAATAGACTTCCTTATAAGTCATGTATATCTTAGTGGTTCTTGGGTGAATAGAATAATAGAAAACTATGAGCTTCCGATAGTATCCGTTGCCTCAACCCATCACCATCTGGATCATATAACCGACCTTGACAATGAAGCACATCATCTCCCCCTTAGGAGAACCTCAATAGTTTTTCAGAGAACTACTTTCTTTAATTCAACCAAAGTTGAATAAACACCTAGTTTTGCCTTAACATCCGACATAAGAGATGATTCTCACACAATTTGAAAAAGAACTCCACTATCCTTTGAATCAACCAAAATAACTCCCAATTGAGCAAGTCTGTGAACATCACTAACCAACTTCTTTTTCTCATCCTCAATATGAGCAACACTATTTAGGGATATCTACTCAAAGCATCTACAACTACATTTGCTTTACTTGAATGGTAAATGACACTCATGTCATAATATTCTAAAAACTTGCATCATCTCCTCTAGCAAAGACTTAAGTCCTTGTGCTTGAACACATACTGAAGACTCTTATGATTGGCGACATATCCATATGAATACCATAAAGATTGTGCCTCCAAATCTTCAAGGCAAACACCATAGCTTCTAACTATTAAATCTGATTCATATAGTTCTTTTCATGAACCTCGAGTTTCCTAGAAACATAAGTTATGACCTTACCAAGCTGCATCAACAAACAAACTAGGCCAATTCTAGAGGCATCAACTACACCACAAAATCATCTCAACCTTCCAGTAAAGTCAAAATTGGGGCTGAAGTAAGTTGAGTCTTCAACTCCTAAAAACTCTTCTATAAGCTTTGAACCACTTGAATTTCACTTTATTTTGAGTCAAACTAATTATCAAAGGAGAAGCGATAGAAGAAAATCCTTCAATAAATTGTATACAATAGCCAACTAAACCCATGAAACTCCTAATATCTGATGGCAGAAAGAGGTCTAAGACAGTTCTTAACTCCTTCGGTCTTTTTAGGATCAAATCAAATTCCCTCTCCCGAAACTATATGGATAAGGAAGGCTATATACCTCAACCAAAATTCACACTTACTGAATGTATCAAACAACTATTGTCCTTACGAATCTCTAAGACAATCCTCAAATGGCCTGCATACTCATCCTCACTCCGAGAATAGATCAAAATGTCGCATATGAAAATAATGATGAATATATCCAAATACTATTTGAACACCATGTTCATCAAATTTATGAAAGCTATATAAGCATTCGTTAGTCTAAAAGATATAATCAGAAAATCATAGTGATCATACCAAGTTCTGAAGGTTATCTTTGAAATATCACATTTTCTAACTCTTAGTTGATGATAGCCTGATCAGAGGTCTATCTTTGAAATGAAACTAGCACCCTGAAGCTGGTCGAATAAGTAATAAATCCTAGGAATGTGATACTTATTCTTGATTGTGACCTTGTTTCTTTGATGGTAATCAACATCCTAAGAGAATCATCTTTTTTTTTACGTAAAAAGAGAACTAGAGCACCCAATGGAGAGATATAGGGTCTAATGAAAACTGTATCCAGAAGATCCTTTAACTAATCTTTTTACGTCTTAAGCTAAGTTGGAGTCATTCTATAAGGAAGGATGAAGATATGCTATGTATATGGAAAAGGTTATTCCAAAGTTAATCTTTCTTTCAAGAGGGTCTCTTGGAAGATCTTCGGGAAACAGTTATGGGAATTCATTCACTATAGGAACTGACTGAAAAGTTAGGGTTTTGGTACGAGTATCCTTTAACTGAACTAGATGATAGATACAACTTTTAGAAGTCATATTTTTGTCCTTAAGGCATAAGATAAATTAACTTATAAATGATGAGGTACAACCTTTCAATTCAACTGCTGGTTCTTTTGGAGATTGACATTTAACGTATCTAGTTCTACAATTGACTGAGGAATATCAAGCATGTAGCCAGTCCATGACTAGAATGATGTCAAAATTAACCATGTCTAGCTCTACTAGATCAATTGATGTGATTTTAGAATAAATTGAGACAATGTGATTTATGTATACCTATTTAGCTAAAACTGACTCACCAATAAGAGTAAAGACTAAAAGGGTCTTGATTGGATTTGGGGACTGACATCAAATTTCATAGAAATATAAAGAGTCACGGAGAAAAGTATGTATCCTAATCTAACAACGTATAAACATCAAACTGAAAGACTCATAATATATCAGTGACCACATCAGGGGAATCCTACTGAGACTTTTGATTTTGAAGAACATATAACCTGTTTTTACCTTATTTGCCACTCGTGCTAGATGAGGTACCATATCAAGTCAGGCGATTTGCTGGAGAATTAGGTTGAGTTTGCTAATGAACATCTCTACCATTGCCTATAGTCGATGGGCAATCCTTCAACTTGTGACCAGTCTTACCACGTCTAAAACATCTACTAGTACTGCCCATACACTCTCCCGCATGGTTTTCACCACTTATGACATGTGAGAAAAGTATGTCATCTAGAAACACTGCCATATGACTTAGAGCTTGGCCCTATCGTTATTAAACTTAGGCACTGGAGAACTAGTAGAAGATGGGGTCAAGCCCAAATCTTTCAAACAGAGTTGAGAACAACTACCACCTCATGATCTCTAACGAAAGTAGTCCACATTATCTATATGGGCCCTCTTGTTATCTTAACACTTTCTTTAAGTCTTTTCTCCTCAATTTGCATGATTCATAAAATGAGATATTTCCATCTCCTTTATCAACTTCAGTTCTATACTCTTTCTAAACCATCTCATAAACAGTAGAGACAAACTTACTCATATGGTAGAGTTGTCCACCATAGTCAGCGCATACTGGGAGAGTTTAGTAAACTTCAAAGAATACCGCTTCACTATTATGTTAGCCTATTTAAAATTTATGTACTCTTACACCTTAGCGTCTCTCATATCAAGCAGGAAGAACCACACTAGAGAAGCACCCTTGAACTTTTCCCAGTCCAGTGAGCTTGCATCAACAAATATTTCTTCTTCCATTGCTTGTACCAAATATTAGCAACTCCCTTCAAATTGATAAGTAGCCAAATTTGCACTCTCAATGGAGTGACACTTATAATCTCAATGATACTCTGAATACTCTCAACAAAATATTGTGGTTCTTCATCCACTTACGAACCATGAAATTTTGGAGTGTTCAATCGAGTGAAGTCTCAAAGTCTAGTTGCGGTCGTACCCATAATTGAATTCACATGAGCCACAACCACTCAATTGGTTTGAGCAATTATAGCTTGGGCTAGAACTTGGAAAACATCCCTAAACTTAACATAGGTCAATTGAAGTTGGAGGTTCTTGTTGCTCCTCATTCTGATTCCTTTTAACAAAGTTATTCTTGGAGATGTGATTCTTTAAATGTGTAGAGAATAAGTTAGAATGAAACTTTATATATTTGAACTCTGTTGCACGACTTAGTGTATGAAAGAAATGAATTATTTTCAAAAGAAATTGTATCCTCCCATTAATATATGACACGCTTCGCACCCATGAATAAGACTTTATTTAATGAGGCTTTTAGATACCCTAATACACTTGAACCAAACACCTTGATGCCATGTTTATCACACCTCAAGACTACTCCTAGATGTGACATAGGGCTTAGAGATACAAATAACCCAAAGCTAACCTCATGGAATTGCATGAAATTGGATTAGAAAAATCAATAACAAATTGAAATACATACGCGGAAGATAAAACTAAATATCTAGATAAAACCATAATACTGAGATAAATGATATTTGAAAGACAACATAATATGGTAGGATCTAAATGATTGTTTGAAAGGCCTCTAATAACATGAGTTGCTAGGACAAACCCCTAACTTACTTTATCATGTCTGAAGCTGAAAGTCTAATACTAAAAAAATATAAGGTTTGATTGAGGAAATGATGACTCACGAATGCTTCTTCTAGATGATCAGAGATAGTACTGATCACAGACCTTATAATGAGCATCATAACTTATATTATCAAACAATTTAGACAGAAAGTATGTAGTAAGTACTTGGAATGTACTAAGATGAGGAAATGCATAATTAGCATGATATTTGAACATATTGGATCTATTGAATGTGTTGATACAATGATCAAGTAAAATAAGATGAAGTTGAGTTATATTGATTTGAAATACATATATACAAGGTCATGTCATATCTAAAAATTCAACTGTTGGGATATTAAAACCAATCTAAATCATGTGAGCTAGTAAAAGGAGTTCAGTGTACTGCTCTTACACTGAAAAGAAAATGTACAGACTTGTCAATGTAAGGACCTAATATCTGAGTAAAAGTGGACCCACTAGTTATTGTCTATATTAGACAATCTTCATCCCAAAAGTCCACACCGTGCTAAGTAAGGGACCTTAGTTCAAGGCAGCATCTATGGTTTGAGCTTCTGACAGACCATGGCCTCTCTATTCTCTATAATTAGTTATATATTTGTAACTAGTATGCATTTATGGGGTATTTGCTTAGTTAATCCCCCCCCCCCCCACACACACACACACTTTATGATGCATTATATGAGTTGATCAACATTTGATCCACTTTTAATTGATTGGATAGCCAACCCAATTGTAATGAGGTAATTGGGCGAATAGCCATAAATTACACCCATTTTATCAACCTTGGAGTAAATCTTACCAGCACTAAACTGGCTTACAATGCCATGGGCAGTTCGCTCAATAACAATTCATCTAAAACATTTTGGAAGGCACTGTGCTAATGTTTCTAACACATAAAATTGAATCTAAGGTCCAAAATTTAGTTTTCATTACAGAGGCAGCCAAGAAATGCAAACAACTACCAACCATGCATTTGCATGACTGTGGATCTTTCAACTTCATCTCACAAACTAACGACATGTAAAGAAGCAGCAGCAGAGGTTACTCCTTAAAATCATCCTTGTCATCAACAGGAATTGGTTGATTCCTCCAGTACACAGCTAGAGCACTTCCACCAAGCTGTGAAACATGGTAACGATGAGCGAACATCGAAAAGAATTATGTTTGGAGTATAATAGACAAGATTTGTTGCACATGAACATGTATATGAAAAAAGTAAGGTACAGAGTCTTACTGCCATGCAGACAACACTAACAGCAGAAGGTACAGCAACAAGAGGGTTTGTGAAATGCTTTTGTGCAAGTAGAAATCCGAGTGCCGAACTCTGTGCACACAAAAGACAAGAGTTACATAGTTTTCCCATAGTTCGCATTATCTAGACTTCATCAAACCACTTTCTGTTAAATGTAATAGTAAAGCGATTGGACGACCTGGTAAAAAGATGATGCCCCTTTTTATAGCTGATATCACAATTTATCATGCATAATTATTAATTTAGGGAACAATATTCTCGCCAAAAATAACAACCCACAAAAGATAAGCATTATAATTAAAGAGTTCATTCAAGTGTCCTTTTTCTATTCCCCGCTTTGGGAAGGAATGATGGTTCCTAAGAATTAACAGCAGAATCTTATATTGTTAACTATCACAAGTTAATGATACCTCAATAGGATCTGTGTTTTGTACGGTGAAAGGCAAAAAAGGGGTGAGCACATGCTTTTAATAAGTCAGGCACCAATTAATACTAAAAACTATAAAATATTTAATTGCATATATATATATATATAACAATAATAATAATAGCAACAACATATTAGCAAATATTTCAATTAAAAACTAAAAGTCCATAGTAGTTACTGTTAAAGAATGACAAAAGTCTCACATCGATGGCTAATGAGATGGGATGACTCCTTATAAGGTTTGGGCAATCATCCTCCCTTTGAGTTAGCTTTTGGAGTGTGAGTTATGCCTCAGACCTATCAGAGCAGGACCGTCTCACCCGATGTTCGGACCTTGCACCAAATGCTAAGCACTGGGGGTGAGGTAGGATATTAAAGAATGACAAAAGTCCCACATCGGTTAATGAGATGGGTGGACTCCTTATAAGGCTTGGCAATCCTCCTCCCTTTGAGCTAACTTTTGAGGTGAGTTAGGCCTAAGACCTAATTTCACACTAAATTGAAAGAAGAAGAAAATACATATAAGAGGACAAAAAACAAAGGAATGAGAAACTGTGCACAGTCCACTGCCTACTGTTAAGAACCGCGAAAAAGAAGAAGAGAGTCATGGTTTGTGCTGAAGTCTGAACTTTGAAGAAGAGTAATCCCTCATATTTCGTTTTAATATTAATTTGATGTCAGTTTTATAAGAAATAACAACAAGTATGATGCCTTTTTTCGCTGCGTCACCACTCGATTTTCCTTGCCTTCGCGAGATTGCCGCCTTGCATCACCATTCACCAGTAATAGGTGACAAGGCCTAGCCTCTCGTCAAAGGCGACAAGGCGAGCACATTTCGCATCATTGAAGAGGATAGAAAGAGCGAATTTTCCACCTCTGAAAATAGAAACATATACTAGATAATGTTTTGCATGATTTATAATTTTTACTATCACTCTATTAGGCACCCATCAGATAATTCTTCTTAATATGGTGATGTATGGAGCTCAACTAGAGGAAATGAAGATAGTACGGCTTAGATGAAACCAAAGAGAATAAAAGACAAGACAGGTATTAGGGTGGCTACAGAGATTAGTTCATTGGTAGGCTGAGAAGTATAAAAAGATAACTACCTGCATTCCACATTCTATCGAAATAGTTCTGGATGTTGATTCACCAAATGAAAATTTTGAAATCTGGTAACCCAGAAAAAATGCTGCAGCATGCAAGGCCGCCACAGGGAGAAGTAACTGTGCTCCCTGAGTTTTCAGCACATCTGCGACTTGACCAATCTTCAGAGAAAACATATACAAACTGAGTTAGCGTAGAATATGTGAGAGAAAGAGAGAGACGACTAACATGCCTTCAACTAAAACTAGTCAGTAAATTTTTCAAGCTTACCGGACTAGCACAAAGAAGAGTAGTCAGAATAACTCCAATTAAAGGTGTGATGGTGACGATTTTTGACGTAAACTTAGGAAAAAACTCATTTGATAGAACTGCAAAACAAAGTTAACTTGAGTTTATATAGCCTATCTTATTTAAAGCTATATGAAAGCAAGATCGGCATAAATACAGATTTCCTGTTGTATTTCTCTATCGAAGAAAATGTGAAATATTAAATATCCAGTTACCTCCAATAACTGTTGGCACTAGCACAACTTGAAAGGTGCTGATAGCAAGACCCTGGAATGAAAACAGAAGAACATCGTCTCAAGAAAGTCTTTATCAGCAAACCACAAAACTTAGAATGTTAATCACCGAAGTTAGAGGGCTGTCAGCTTTCTTGGGAAGAATCCAACTTTTAAACAGCCATACTTTGGTGGTGTTAAGTGTTACACACCAAAATAAGCTTGGTGAAGTTGGTAGGTTATTTATGGCGTGTGTGAAAGGCATAGTGTAGATATTCTCCAGTGTACAACATACATTTATAGGATAAATTCTGATGTGTGACTGATATAGCATACATCAAGCAGTTTACATGAGTACATTCTGATAACTGAAACAAATATTGAACACAAAAGCACAGGTCAACTTACGGCAGCATCAACTGGGACAAGCTGACCAGCTAAAAGCTTAGTTAGCAGGGGTGTCATCACAATAGCTCCAACTGTTGAACACCTGCAATGATGCCATAAAAACACTTATTCCCCAAATTCTCTAAGATTCAGGTCTTTAGCTTACTGTTATCCACAATTCTATGCAAATGCATATTTCTTGTACATGTGAACTTAAGTTCGCACTGAATGATAGCATTGGTTTCTCCTTAACATGCATCACTTCAGAGAGGCTTAAAAAATTATTACATCATTACCCATGAAGCTAAAGCAGAGTGCTTGACAGTTCAAGAGCAGTTGTTCACTTTCCTATGATGAATTTTCTTGAACCACCTTTTACAATCACTGTCTTTCTTATAGTGTGGTTGCAGATCGCTGTCCTTAAAAGTAAAGAAAGATCTGGGGAAAAACACTAACTTTTATGATTGGCTAACAATCATCTGGTCAGGGGTTTGCCAGAGGCCACAAAAATACCCTCTCCCCCATGAACATTTATGTCCACAAAGTGCAATATAGAGTTTATTTCAACATGTATCTCTAAAGATGTAACGAGGAAAGGAACTATTCAGGTGCTAACAGAAAAAGAAAGAACCTGGTAGGAGCATGGACCTTTCGCATTGTTTTATCATTTAATTATAACAGCACAAGCTGGATAATGTTTCTCCTAAGAGGTCATTTGTATTGACTTATTTTAAGAGCTTTTTAAGTATTTTTGTAGAGTTCGGGTAAAATAAAAAAGTACTTTTAAGCACTTGTTTTTAACCCAAAAGGACAAAAATAAGCCAGAAATAATTAGTTAGAATTCCTAACTTGTGCCTTTTGGTAATAAGCTCATCCAAACAGGCTCTAAGTGTTCAAAAAATTGTAACCTAAATCCAGTTTCAAAAAAAAAATTGTAACCTAAATCAATGGCTTCCTGTCATTAGGAAGGAGATACAATTCAAAAACAACAATCAGATATTGGCAGATTGCATTGGCAAATGAATTTCAGATCAACTTTGTTTTACCATGTCCATTGTCTTTCTGGATAAAAAAGTTGCAGATAATATTAAGTTTAGACTAGACTAAACACTTCTGCAAATCGAAAAGGTGGATCCTTTTCTCTTTGTTCTCTTTTTTTTTTTTTTTGATAATTGTGACCTTGTGGTGTCCGGACCAACTTTTGCACACCTCGACTAATACCCACCAGCAACAGGTACCAGGAAAATGAGAAGAAATCACCTGGTGTTTTTGTCTCCATTGTTTGAAGCTGAGACCTCATGACTCTCACCAACTTCATAGACTACTAGGTCACACCCATGTGTGCAGGTGGATTAGATTTATATACAAAAAAATTAATTTAAATGGAATTATAAATAATAGTCAAAATGTAGGTGCGCTACTTCCGTATTTCTTTCAGTAACTGTATACACCAATCCCAACTAAGTAATCTTTTAAAGCAAAGTAGTGCCACCTACACCTTTTCATCTGATATAAGACAAGGAAATGAACAAATATTATAGGAGTACTTCACATCAAATCAAACAAAAAACTAAGGAAATTGATGTGCAACACAGGATCTAATATCTAATTTATTAGGGTTTAGCATCTGGTTAAGTAATGGATAACCATGACTTTTACTTAACACATAAAATTGCACTCTTTAACTTTTCTGGATTATAAATTAGTTATACTTTACTTTTATCTTGGCAATGAATGTCATCACGTCAATAACAAAGCATGGCTTGCAAGACCACATAGCAAAGCTTATTGAAAGTAAAGAACTTCCCACATAGTAGATTGAACTACTTACGTTGTCATTAGAACAGAGAGGGCTACATTCCCCTTTGAAATATATGTTGCCACATTAGAAGCTTGGCCTCCAGGACAGCATGACACCAAGATCAGACCAGTAGCAAGTGGGGCGGACAACTTTAGAGCCTACAGATCATACCAATTGGAGGAAGAGAACAATTATTATTAGCTAACTTGAGTAATATCAGAAATAGAATCAAGAGCATAGAGCTTGCTAACGAACAATAGAAACAACCAGAGAAACGAATAGCATTGACATGCTTAAATAGTTAGGTCAAACTTGCATACAACAACAACAACTACTACGTCTCGGTTCCAAACAAGTTGAGGTCCGCTATATGAATCCTCACTTCTACAATTAAAAACTCAACTCAAAGGTCAACTTGCATACTAAATCAAAATATGTTTCTAGAGGATAAATAAGTTCTCTTTGGCTACAAAAGAGGGAGAAGAAATCATAAACAGTAGAACCTAGTTAGATGCTAATATAAACTAACTTTAACAGAAATATAACAAAAAACAATAAAGCAAACAATGATAGAAAAATATATCTAACAGGCCACTCTACCTTTCTAATGCCTTTCCTTTTTTATCTCACATAAGATAATTATGGGTGTAATCAAGTTGATCTTCATTCACTATCCTCGTGTGAAGATTTTCTAGGAGTCTGACTAAGTTAGAATGTAAGTGTACACAAGATTCAACTCAAACTTACAATACAAATATGCTTTAAATGATGCATAGATAAAAAGAATAACGCAATGAGGTAAGAGAAGAAATACCATTGCTATGGTGAAGCCTAAGAGTGGTTTAATGAAGTACTGAGCGAGAAATCCAACACCTACAGTCCATGGGTTCCTTAAACATCTTCGGAAGTCGTCAAATGTTAGTGTCAAACCCATTGAAAGCATTAGAAATCCCAAACCCAGAGTGAAGAGATCTGTTTCCAACCAAGTGACCTGTACAATTCTCATGTTCTATCAGTTAGAAGTTATAGTAAACGGAAAAATTGCAAAGAACAACTATTGAATTTACCGCAGAAGGTTTATATATGCCAATGATTGTACCCAATATAACCTGGAAAATAAATTAATGTTTGAATGAGGGTAGGTAGGTATAAAACAAAGTATTAAAAGAGGAAAATGATTCTGAAATATACCCATAGAGGAAAAAGGGTGGTCAAAGTCTCAATTATTTTCTCATATTGGGTCATTCCAGTGGAAGAGCTTTCCCCAGACACATTTGATGCTGCCTCGCAACATACTATTTTGCGATTGCTTAACATAGTAGTGGCAACCAAAATAAGAAATACAACAACAATAAAAGAGACAGACAATATAATTCCATCTCAAACAAACACTTACCACGGGGATTGAACTAGGGAAGTCTTACTTTGATTTTGATTGATGAACAAATTATATCTTCCAATCTCATCTCCATTTCTCATACCTTAAATACAATATAGTTAGCTCAATTTTTACTCAATAATCAAAAGAGTCGAGAAAAATGAGGTACATACCCATACTCAAATGGGTCGGACTCCTTCTAACACAAAACCCATAACTTGGTCTCTGAAGTGTGTCTGAACACTGCAATTTACATTGTTTCCCAATAAATCTGGACAGAGAAGCCATTGTTGACTAGAAGAGTTTAGGGCAGGGTTCGTTCAACTTACGTTAGTTACCGTGTGGTTTTCGAGCTGGAAAACTGAGATCAGATGGGTCCAACATAGCAGATTTTCTATAACTCGTGGAAACCAATGAACCACACAAGATGATATGAGGTTTATCCAAATCTCACACCCCAAAAATATATAATGTTTTCTATTTTATTAATATTAAAATAAGAAAATATCTAAATTAGAAATTGCATCACCTAGAATAAAACTAACTAAAATCTAACAATATTTTTCTAATGACTAGTGGCAAATTCCTACCCTTTTTTGTCCAATCTTCATTTCTGCATTGCTGTGTTCCTTCTTTTCAAATTTCATGATCATTTGATTTGTTTTATTCTCATCATTACTCATATTTATCAAAGTTCAACAGTTTTTATTTTTGTACAAGTAATTATGTGAAGGTATACAAAACATCTCTTTCATTGCCATCAGAAGCCTCATTATCAAGGAAGTCATTTAAAGCATTTCTTTCCTGGAAAATATGGTTCATGTGGAGAGTTTTTGGCCTGCTACAACAATGATAAAAAAAAATCCCTGATTTAATTCAAAATTTGCAATATTTATCCTTGTGTTAATTTTGTAAAGAAACCTAAGAGTTTGTTTGGCTCAACTTATTTAGCTGTTTGGCAATACTCAAAATAACTTATTTTAAGTTTAAAAAAAACTTATTTTAAGTCAAAAGTTAAAAGCTGGGGTAGGGGTGTTTTTTTTTCGAGCTTATAACCTGTTTTAAGTTGACCACATTTTTACCTTTTTGCCCTTAATATTTTTATACAATCTCCAAATTACCCACATAACCCTAACATCTCTTTCTTTTATTTTTCCCTTTTCACGTGTGGATGATAGACAATTACTATTACTAATGAATGAAAATAAAATAAATCTTAAATCTTTCACGTGATCTATTCAAATTATATATTATTAAAATGTAAAATAAGTTGCACATATAACTTAAATAAAAATTTATATTCCTCTTATAAATAATTTGTGATAATAAAGAAATATGTGAATGATAGACAATTATTATTACCTATGGATGAAACTAAAATAAAATCTTAAATGGTTCTTTAATGTATTCAAATTATATATCTTTAAAATCTATAATAAGTTTATATTCCTCTTATAAATAATTTGTGATGACAAAGAAATATGTGAATGATAGCAAAATATAATTATTTATGGCTGTAAAATATAAATTAATTAACTTTTATTATGTTAACAGCTTTAAAGGGTATTTCAGACATTTTGATTTAAAAAACTGTTTATCAGCACTTATTTGCCAAACACATCAACAATTTTTTTTAACTTTAGCACTTTTATCCAAACGCATAACTGCTTATTTTAAAAATAAGTTTCAGCACTTTCAAAAGTACTTTTTTAAAGCTGCTTTTATTAAGCCCATCCAAACGGGCCCTAAATCACGTGTACAAGAATTTGGTTCTTGTTGGATTACTAGAACCTCAAGGAGGATTTTACCAAACTTCAAACAGACACTTTCGGATTACAACTCTATAATTAAAGGCACTAACTCTAGTACCCTACCTCAATAGTTCACTCAAGTTATTCAACGGTTAACTATAATTGAATATTCTGCTCCCCAAGAAGTCAAACTCGCTTCTTGTTACAATTCTCTTTAACTAGTGTAGCCGTTTCTTTATTCTCCAGGAAATCAAACTCATTTCTTGCTACAATTCTCACAAATTCTCTTTCACACTCGGAATAGTTATCCCTAAACAGTAATTCTAAGATGAAACAAAATACTCTTTCACACTCGAAATAATTATGAAATAAAATTCTCTTTCACACTCGAAATAATTATCCCTAAACAGTAATTCTAAGATGAAACAATGTAAACTAAGTATAAGAAAGAAAAGCTAACTCTAGTTCTTCTTTCTTCTATTGTCTTGTTGTATTTAGCCCGCACGAGCTCTTGTCGCAAAATATTCTCGATTTATGATTGTGCAAAAGACTGTAATTCTCTTTGTCAACAACCCTTATAAGGTTGGATTAAACCCTAGTTGAATCCTACAGAGAAATTAATATTTTTTTTCTGGAAAAACTTTTCTTTTCATATAAGGAGTTATCTACACTTTTTTTTCTTTACTAGTATCTGGGCAGGAGCAAAGCATGTGTATTTCATGTTAATCTATTCAAACTTTTTCATTGAGATGGAGGGAGTATATTATAGTTAAATACATATTGGTTCTAAAAACAAAAGTTATTCTTACTAAAATAAAGAAATTAATACACATATCAATGCTCTCTGTACGTATGAAGTAGAAACAATTGCTAAAAATACAAGAAGAATATTTGAATGCTAAAGATAAAATATTACATGTCGGAATAATAATATATTTGTTTAAACTTTCATATACAATGATACATAAACATTGTGCATTACTATACATTTGTGTTGAACTTTGTTTATAAAGTTGATGTTACTAGGTAATCGGACTTTAGACACCAACAACTCTAAGTACTTCCTATCCTCTCAAATTGTTGATTTCTCTTCAAGAACAAAAAAGAAGATGGAATTAATTAATAAATTAAAATTATGCAAGAGCCTATAAAAATGGTGAATAAGAATTCAAGAATCTTTTCTCGCCTTTTTATAGCTATTTTTCAATTTGCATTCCTTGAAACTTCTCTTTTATTAGTCTACATTTAGTTATAAAATGCAACTCTTCCCCTTCTACAAATTATTTATTTCTCCTAACTAATTAGTCTACATTTAATTGTTCAATGCAACTCTTCCTATTCTCCAAACTATTTAGCAATGAATAACACACACTTAGATTTGATTAATGGGTAATTTATTAAGTGCTACATTTAATTTGGACTTTTGAATAACTGCATATTCACAAATCTCGTGTAAATTTAAATACAATTACTACTATTTCATTAGATTAGGTTTTTTAGTGTAATTAAATATAAGAGAAAATTGTAATTTAACTTTAGATACTCGTTTTATTTCTCTCCGTTTTTATTCATGTGGATACATTCACCTCAAACTATTGTTCTACTTTGAACAGAAACAACACAAAACAATATATGCAAAGATACATATTTCAAGCCATAATAAATGTCATTATTTTTTATCACGGATATTTCACCTCAGTTCTCACCGCATGAATTTCCGTAACATTTCATTAAAAATAAATGAAAATATAACATTATTTAAGAATTCAAAACAAAAAATTTAACATAATACTCTTATAACAAATTTTAACATAGCATGCATAAATATGATTTATTTTTATGTTTTCTTAAAAAAAGAAAAGTAAGTCTATAACCTTACTTAACAATAAATTCTATTTTAATTTAAAAATTAGAATACTAATATAATTATGCTAATGAGAAAATAAGTATGACATTAAAAATATATATAATACAAAGAAATTGCATAGAATCAGGTAACTAAGGTTGAGAACAAGAAATAATAGTATAAAAAAACTTTTACAAATTTTTAGAATAATAAAAATAAAAAAGGAACTTAAAAATAATATAAGTAAAAAAATTATAACAAAAAAATAAAATAGAAATAAAAATAAAAAAATAAAAAGTAATTACACCATGTAATTACCAATAATGCACAACCTCTACATGTGAATCGTAGAGTGTAATTATCCCATACCAATTACACCAATTACATGCTGACCAAGTAATTACCTGTCCAACTAAATATGACAGACGATGTAATTACACTCAATTACACCAAATCAAATTGTCAAGGTGTCCTTCCAAACACGTTCTATTTTGACCGAAAACATAACAAGTACCATTATCCTTTAGTTGGAATATGAATGTCAAAGAGTGCCCTCTCTTTTTGTTGTGTGGATAATTTAGTAATTTCACAATTATGTATATTTTGAAGAGATAATACATTTTTATTAATACATTTTTATTATTATTTAATTAGATTAGATGTTGAATTTATTAAATGTTGATAAAGTATAAGGTTAAAGTTGTAATCTAACTTTGAAGATAGGTGGTTTTCACTTTTAGTAATATATGATATGATATAATGATTTAGGAGTCTTTACCTTATGAGGAGTCTTTTGCACTTTTTTCCTTATTTAGGAGTCTTTGCTTTTTAAGGATTCATTTGTAATTCTTTTTCTTATTTAGGAAACTTTGCCTTTTAATAAAAGGTTCCTTAGTTCCCACGTTGATTCCTCTATTGGATTGTGGACCTGGTTCACTTTATGCAATTTCTCAGTTCACTTCCCACATTGGTTCTGATAATGGATTGTGAACCTGGTTCACTGTGTCCGATTCACTTTGTCATTATCATAACTTAATCAAAAAGTTTTCATGTCATCGATTTCTCTCTTTTTGATGATTCTAAACAATGCTTCCTTCATGACCCCTATAACCTGCATTGTATAATCCTACACAACAGAACCATAAACGTATTCCCCCTTTTGACATCTCAAATACATAGGTAGAGTTAGATGTAAGCAGGCATACACATAATTAGACGCATACCACAATGGGAGACACCACACATACGTAGATTCCAACAGATTTCCTAATCTAATGATATTAGTCATCCATACAAGTAACGACAGGAAGCACTCACACACGAGAAAGATGAAAAACAAAATCACAAGACACGTCATTTAAGCCCACATTAAAAACCAACATAATATTTGCAAAAGCACAATTGAGCATCCCACAATATCATAACTTTTTTATTTAAAAAAATAAAAGAAGTATCGGTTCCACGATGGATAGGCTAAGACAAATGGATAGACGGAGGGTTGGAAAGTAAGAAGTTGGAGCAATGTATCTATTTTAGCATTGTTTTATTGCTATTGACAAAGCATTTTATTCCTTAAATGTATCAATATCGATCTAAAGCCCATCATTCTGCATCCAAGCAACATTCATATCATCAATCAGTTGTGCCATAAGACCAACAATGCAAGGACAAGGTGCAAGAGATGGGTTGTCTACTGGCAAGCAATCACACTTTGCAAAAATGGTCTGATTACTCATATCCTTCTCTGTCACTTGACTTCCATCACCTAAGGTTACATAATAAGTA